TTCCAGACCCCAATGGAAAAACCCTGTGGTATGGCAGGCTCTTACTTGGACATGCTGCTGATCTGCACAATTCCTGGACTAGACAGAAAAGCAGTCTGAAAGGGGGCCACGAGCAGAACAGCACCCAGGGTAATACTAACTTACTCTACCGTGTTTGCTGTCTGAAAGGTGGAATGCCTTTGAGTGATAAACTTCCACCATGGTGCTTCCCTGAGAAAGCATCCTGACTTTCTTTGACTATCCCTGCTTTATGTTAGTACAATATATGTAGTATAACACAGCTGATAATTATGCTCTTACATCGTACCAGCAGACTGTAGCTCTGGCTGAGAAATGTATGACCATGCAAAACTGCATTGATGTGGAGAAGAGGAATGAGTTCTGAACAGAGATTTTAAGTGATGAGCATTAGATATTTTTTTTTTTTAATTTTAATTTTTATTTTTTTACGGTATAGGTTGTCCTACTTAATAACTGTGTTTCAGCTTTAGTGCAAATAGCAAATGACACAAAACAAAATACCCTGATTATCTTGAGTGCTAATGCAAAAATGAGCATTTTGCCAGAGCTCTGGAACTGGGACCATAAATGACTGTTTGTAGATGAACTGAGCAGGAGCCTGCATGCTGGGTTCTGCCCATTACGAAACTTTGTGCTGTGAGGATGGGGGGAGAAGAGCTGACCCATTCCTCTCTTCTGGCTGCCTGTTCCACAGACTCGGGGTAACATCAGTAGGATAGGCAAAGGGGAACCCCCCCAGAAGTGAGCTCAGGTCAGTGCTTTGCTCTGTTAGACAGCCTGCATTCTTTTCATATGCCCGTCCAAGGATGTTTTTAAAACAAATAAACAAAAACACATTTGCCTCAGGCAGGCATATTTCTATTTTATTTTAGTGTGAAGCAGTGGTTTAATTGTTGATAATACAGCTGAACGGAGACTACCTGCTTCCTGTTGGGGTAATGAAATATTATTCCTTTAGTGTTGTAAAAGTTACACAGACCTTCAGCTCACTTGGTTTGCTTCAATTTCTCAGTTACTGTGGATCATGTACTAATTATTTTTTATTCACTTGTTAGTAGTAGCATCTGTGAAGGAAAGTTCAGAATGTAAAAAAGTTCTAAATGCTAGAAGGTAAAGAATCTGTTGGTGAATGTAGACTTGAATGGAGCAGTAATTACAAAGAATTTCAAAGTATTTTTAAAAACAAACAAACAAACAAAAACAACACAAAAGTGGATGTGATTAACTTGAAACTGTTTTGAAACCAACAAACACCAGTTAAGGATCTGATTCAGTAAGCCGTGGTTAATGCCATGGATGCTGACATTAAACTCAAGATATCTTTGGAGGACTGGGCCCCAAATGTGATTCTTTGGTTTCATCTTGAGCTGTGGGTGAGTAGGTGTATGCTGTATGACAGCGAGGTTGCTGTAGTAATTATTCATTAGCTTTAAATAACAGGGTAATTATGAAGGTAAAATTCATATACCCTGACACACCCTTTTTTTGCTAGCTTTTCAATTTCTGAAGAATGCCTACAGCCCTCTGCTTTGTGTTGTAAAATAGGGCACTGCCCCTAGTTGTGTGTGGTTGTTTCTTTGCTTTTTGCATGCTCTTTGCAAGAACGTGAACTGGGGTGAAAAGGTAACATGAATCAGGGAGGCAGGCACCTGAGGAGAATCAAAACTCAGTTTCTTCTGTGCCTCCAAGGATAATGAAGGTCACTCTGGTGCCCATAAATACAGGTATACTGCATGTAGGTTGGTTCTCTCTGAAAATTCTTTAATTCGGTTTTCTCATTTTCTCATTGTTTCTCTTCTGGGATGAAAAGTAGCTAGCAGAGCAGAAGGGAAGAAGCAATGTTTTGTGAGGACAGAAGCCCAGTCTGGTGATTTGTACCCTGGATATTTAAGTCTTTTGGGTGCCATGACATGAGTGGTGAGCTTGCGTTACACAGGCAGAGTCGGCAGAGTTGGAATGATTCTGGATAAAAGTCCAGATACTGGAATCAGTTTATCTTGGGTGGATTGAACCTTATTCACTGTATTCAGAATCTCAGAGTTAAGTCCATAAAAATGACTCTTTTGACCTGTAATCAGGGACAGCTGCACATGATACAGTGAGGATGTGCTCCAAATGCTTTGTGTTAGCTGCTCTGATGTCCTGCAGACGTGAAGGGCTGCCACACTGCTGGTACCATGAGCCTGCTATGCAATTTGTCCTGTAGAGCACTGTGACCTGTATGCGCAGTGGGTTAAAAAAAGGTCCTCTGCGCTCTTGTGGTCCTGTGCATAACCAGAGGCTAACTCAGCTTCGTTCTGTCCTCCTTCCTGTGCTGCAAAACCCATACCCCTGTGTTAGGCAGCATGGCCTTCACACAGTGAATGGAGCGGATGATTTGGCAAGGGCAATGTGCTTAGCAGGGCTCTCCCAGCCAGCTTGTCAAGGACAGTTTATTTCATTGTCAGTTTCTTGAACTGAAGTTTGGTTTTGCATGGAGCCACTTACACTCCTTGGAAGTGACACATTGCTGTCCTTCACCCCCTGAGTGCTACAAACACTTGCCAAGGATTAATTACCTGTTTCTTGTACCATGAACATTGTATTGTGACTGCACAGTGGAACGTAATAGAGCTCAAGCCTAGAAAGGTGACATGCCGGAGTTCCATGTGTTCTGAACTTGAGAGTTGAAGTAGTTCTAGCACAGTAATGAGCTGGTGCAATTTCCTTAGCAGATGAAAGGCTGAGAAGACTGGAGAGATGGACAGACTTGCGGTAAGGGAAGAAATAAATTGTCAGAAACTGAAGTAGCTCTAAGGTTTTTGGAAGAAAACTCTCCCTCTCTTGAGGAGATCTGTGGGTGCAGATCTTTGAGACTAAGAGTGGAAAACTGAAAATGAAATGGTTATTAGAGAGCTAATTCTTGAAGACTAACAGTGGCTTTTCAGTGGTGAGCTATTTTGTAGGTGTAGTGTCTGCATGCTCTATTCCTGCACTAGAGGCCTCTTGTATTAGTTTGAGACATCCTTTAATGTTGTAAAACCTGATTTTAAGAGAAAGCTGAGAGTTATATGTAAGCTGTTGGATAAAATTACAATCAATTATTGGTCTTCATACAAAAACAAAACCCCTAAACAAACAAAACCAAAAAACAAGTCCCTTTGCATGGTCACTGAATTAAGAAATGAACAGTAAGAATCTAGGCATGTAAGAGAAAAGCAAGCTCTTGTCCAAGCAGCCTGGACAGGGTAATAACACCTCAAATCCTCAGCAATTTGTTAGTGGGGCCCTACCTTTGCCTGGTTTTCTGCCTTCTCTTGGTCTTTGTCCTCAAAGCAAGCACTCTTATTATTATACACCCCAGCAGCTTTGAAAGAAAATGCTCCATTAGGCTTTTCCAGTAGCTCTTTCTCTGTTGATCTACAGATAAATCCTGACAGCCCACCTGCTCCACTGTGCACTCCAGCAGAAACGGAGATGCCAGACACAACTGTAACACAGTCTGCCATGCAGCATGACACGTAGCTGGGTGGAAGACTGGACAACTAAGTGCTTGACATCACAAGAGTATTTGAGACCTTATAGAAATAAGATCGGAATCTCTGTAAGGAATACACCAAATAAACAATCCTTTACACATAGGAAAATGAAAGATGATACGGAAGTAATTTGTAACAGATAATCTCTGATGGTGCAGGTTTTTGCATTAAATGAAATGTAGTAGTTAAGCTATACACAAAAGTTATGGGGAAAAATAAAAGGTTGAAAACACATACATCCTTTTATTGCAAAATACTATAAGCTGCATACATGTATGAGGTATATAAATATACATTGTTCACTTCTGTGTATTCCTGAAAACCCACAGCTGTATCATTTCATAAATAGAATCTCTATAGTGCCTATTCTATTGAGCCTTTGGTTATTTTTATTTCATAATACTAACATGTTGTTTTTCAGTACTATTAATCTAAGAACATCTGAGAGCTGAGCAACTCTTTAAAAGAAGCGTGTTTACCTGTATTAGTGGATTACTTTGCCAATGCCTCTGGTCTCATCACAAATTTTGGATCCTACTATTACAGAAACACTAACCTATTTTGAGAGCCACGTAAACACTTCAGTTACCAAACACAATGTTTGCATCCTACAGACTGGGCCCTTACCTTTGCAAAGTAAAGCTTCAAAATCTGGATGCCTAGCTTTGGATGCTGATGACTTTACCATGCCAGACAGTCATAAAAGCAGTTGTCTTCAGAGGAACCATTGGTGCTCAGTGCTTCTGAAAAGCTGAGCGAGGAGGTCAGGTGTCTCAGGCAGGATTCTGTGAACTAACATTTCTGTGAATCTCAGCCTTGACTCACAATGATCAAATTTAGCCCTGATTCCTACAGATTGTTGATGTATCAGGCAGGAACAGGACCCTTTCTTGTTGCCTTTCCATGCTCTGAGTTAACCACAGTCATTCTTCTCATGTCACTCTAATGAAATGGTTGACATGTCAGTCCTCTACTTTAGAGGTGAGTGGCTGCATTGAAAGTAATATTGGAGGCCCTTGTGGCAAAGCAGAAACCCTGTAACACTTTTTTCTTTCTGATTCCTCTAGTTCTGACAAGTGGCATGGGGGTTGGAGGTGGAAAAAAAAGCTTTTGTATCCTGATTTCTGTCAGTGACATTGGTCAGTGAACCCAGGATTTTTTCACTGGAGTTAATCCAGTCTTTTTATTCATTTTCTATTTACCTCTTTGCAGAGCAGCAGTGGAGAAGAGTGAATTTTTAATTGAAATGTTTGAGACTTATCTCTTCATTCTTTAAAAAGTATCAGTTTGTGGAAATCTGAAGTATTTTGTAAATGGAAGTGAATAAAAACTGCCTTATAGATTCTCAGAAGAACAGGATTGTAAAAACATTAAATGAATGTCTGCTTATTAAGTAGGATTATCTGTCATACATGTGTTCAGGTGTAGCAAGCACAAGCAGAAATCAAGGAATCTTCTCACCTTTAGAGCATGGTATCCTGTCCTTTTCCTTAGAGTGTCCTGTACCGACATAACATCATGGTTTCAGTTAAAAGTTCTGTGCTAAGAACAAGCAAAAGAGCACAACCCTTCCCCCTATAGTGCAGAGAATGAACAGAATTGCAAAATATTTTAAACAGGAAAAGTTGCTAGGAGAGTTAAAAAAAAAAAAAAAAAAGAAAAAAAAGAGGAAGTTGGTATTGCTAAATTAGGAAGTGGAAGTTCATATGAAAGACGTTTTCCTCAGGAAAAGATTGGTAAATGTGAGGCAAGGTGATCTGCTATTGCAATATAGCAGCCTTCAGCTCTCTCTCAGCCTGAGTTCTTCCAGTATCACATTTTGTCTGTGTTCATCATGTACCTGGTACCCAAATGATGGTAGTATAGAATGAGGCTCTACCTGGTGGTCTGGTCAGTGAACAAAGACTCTGTAACAGGAATGTATTTGACATTAGTGATGGCTAATGATTATCACCTCTTTTTAGCTGCGTTTTTTGGTGTCAAACTTCCCTCCCTCCCCCTGGCACCAATGTGGACCAGGAGCAATATACAGGGATCTGTATCACATTTTGTGGTCAGGATGAGTTCTATGCAGATAATTAGCTATAAATACATCAATGTTCATTCCAAAAGTTCTTCTGGAGTGCTTTAGGGGGAAAACAGAAACATTTAAAACTGTATGATTTCCCATTCTGTTTCTTTATCACTTTACAATGTGACTTCAAGTTATTAAAGCATGTTTCCCCAAATCAAGACTTCTGTATTTATCGAAAAGCTTAAGGGTTACAGCATATTGTTACATTTTTTTTTTTGTATTAGTTTACTTGTTCATTCTGGTATGTATGCTAAGGTTTTTCTGTTGATGATTCCAGTTAACCAGTTTAATTAATTACAGTTTGTTCAAAACCCACATGAAATAGCTGGTCTCCAACCCCAAAAAATATTAGGTAGAAAAAGAAAAACAAACATCTTTATGCTTGTGGGTTATATGGGTTAGATCCAGGAATTCAGATAGCAAATGTTAAAAAAGAAAAAGACATTCTCTACGGAAAAGGAGGCTCAGCAAGGAATTATTTAATGTTTCCATTCTTCTCAGAGGCATGCAACAAAAGGACAAGCTCAATGGTCACAAGCTGTAACAAGAGATATTTCAACTGGGTGGGAGGAAAAGCTGTCACTGTGTGGGTAGTCCAGCACTGGAACAGGTTGCCCAAGGAGGCTGTGAGTCTCCACTCTTGGAGATATTCAAAAGTTGAGCTGTGAGCAAAGTGCTTTAGTTGGCCCTGTGCTGAGCTTGGCACCTGGACTGGAGGTCTCCAAACATCTCTTCCAACCTCAGCTATCTTGTGATCTGTGTGGTTCTGTATAGCTTCGTGTGATAAATGGTTTATAGGCCAGGTTTTTCAATACTGTAGCACAAATGTAACTCATGAGGGTAATCATTTCTCTATGAAAAATTGGTGAATTCAGCATACATTTTAATAGACTTAATCGTATGTTTATTACGCATTTCAGTTATTTTAAGCAAAATAACTTGTCCTGTCTGTCTTTTACCTCATCCTTTGATCTTGTCCTTTAATGGAAGGTCACAATTAGATTTATGGTTTTCTGGCCTGTTTCCCTTCATACAGGAAGGACCAACAGAGTAACAAACTGCATTTAAACACTATCAGTTTCGCAGTCATTTGGCCAGTGGGACTTATGTGTGCTACAGGACTATGAAATTTGAATTTACCTTGTGAATAATAACAGTTATATCCCCACTCTCCAAACGTCCACATGTATGTGCCTAATTCTTTGTGAAAATTAATTATGTTTTGAATGACATTGAAACCAGGGTATCTGTATTCATAGTGGTTGGTTCCTGTAGATGATGTCTTTTGTCTGATGACCTGCAAATAATTGCTGTGATCATTATGTTTGCTAATTATTTTCAAATAATAAATCTGAGGCACTTTTAACGAGTTTCACTGGTTGGAAAAAGCTTTGTCTTATGCTATCATTATTTAATAAGCTAAGAAAAAGGCTGGAAAAAAATGTCGTTCTTTTGCAGATGTTACATCTCTTTTAATGTGAAATGTTATTCTAATGCTTTAGAAAGTGTTTATCTTTGGTCTGAGCAATTATCTGATTGGCATCTTTTTTCTTTCTCATCCCCCACTATCTTTTCCCTAGTCTGGCTTCTTCAGTTTCCCTCCTTTCCTGAGCACTGAATAATTAAAAAAGTCTCATTAAAATACAGTTAGTTAAATATGTATGTTTTAACAATTATTTCTAATGGAAAACTCCACTTGTGATGGCTGTGCTATTATATGTATTTTGAAATCATTCTAGATTTGGAAAATTCATCTTGTGTGGACAGACAAAACCTTTCCCTTCCAGAGGTAATTTCTGTCCTGACGGTGCTTGATTCAACATGCTTAGACTCTATATGAGATGAAAAAGTGGGGAATGGAGAAGCATATGTAGAGCCTGAAGAAAATAGTCAGTTATTAAAACAATTTAGCTTGCCATTAAATCTCACAATTTTTGAATATAAATAGCTTTCTCTTCCCTTTGTCTCATCTGTCTTTCTATTATAGCAGAAAATCTCGTGCTGAGCAAAATAGGCAGGGTAGCCCAGCAGTGAAAACAGAATTAGAATCCATGATCTTGATTTTTAGTCTGACTCCATGAATGACAAGCTGTATCATAGCTGTATCATCCTGTGCAACTTACCTAACCCCTGAGTCTCACTTACCACTCTGTAAATGGCATATAACAACATAGGATGCTGAGAGGTTTAATTAGAATTAATTTTAGTCTTTCAAGTACTGTGTGTTTCTCAGATGAAACGTGCTGTGCAAGTGTGAAGGATAATTATTATGTTGCGTCTGTGTTTTTCTGATACATTATTACTACTCTTTTATTAACCATGTTTTGAAAAAAACCCCACGGTACTTACTGGTTTGCAGTTTTGTTTGTATGGTTTAAAGTTAGTCCCTATGAGCGCAGTAAGTAATTAAACTAATGTTGGCATTGAGATGTGGGTTTTTTCATTTAAGAATGTTAATGGCTATTAGTAGATTGGCACAAAATGCCTGTCTGTTTTGATACTTTGAGCACCTTGAATTTTGCACTTAAGTGTCAGATGGGCCTTATTGCTTTTAAATATAGTGAAGTAGCCAAGCAATAAAAACCTACAAAGTCTCTGCTGATAGTTTCCTTGTAGCTGGTCAGACTTGACCCAGATGGCCTTGCAGAGCAAATACCCAGAGAATTGTCCTAGTAATCGGTGCCTGGTGCCTCCTTAACCGTTTGCCAGTCTTGTCAGGAGCTGAGCATACCTTATGCAACAAGCCACCGCCTGTTTCTCCTTTTTTTTTTTTTTTGTTCAACTGAAACCCTGAAGTCCGGGGAAAGCCGAGATACCAGGGGCTGTGACACGTAGCACATGGAAGCACACTGTCTTGTTGGATAGGAGATAACTGTGTTGTTTCCAGATAGAATCACTGCTACATCAGAAATAAAAATAACTGATTGTAGCAGAAACTGTGTGTCCCAAGGACATAATATTTCAGAAAGTGTTGAGTTATAAACTGTGCTTGTACTTTAACATGGATTTGAGCATGTGATTGGGCTTTTCTTGTAGCTGAGTGTTCGTGAGCCTTAAATAGAAAGGCAGTATTAACAAATGAGATCAGATCACTTCAGGATAATGAACTTCTTTCAATAAGGTTATTGTTTTATAGGCAGGTCACATTCTTTTTGTCCTTACTTGCCACATACTATGAAGTGTTACTCTGACACACAGGACTCCTGTGTTAATTGCCATGAGATGAACATGTCCAGAGAGACCATCCTCTCCAGGCAAGGCCACAGATGCGATGAAGCAGATTTACCTTGCTGGACATGCTGCCTGGAAAACTGCTTGAGCTGCTTTGCTGCTCCCTTTCCAATGTAGATTAGAGTATAAAAATGAAAAGGAGATGAATAGATTTATACCATTCTCACACGTTATGAGAGCAACATGCAGATGACTTTAGCTGTCCCACAATGCTACCGAGACAAAACGTAGACCCAGCTCATCCACCAAAGCTGTGTTTTTGTCTGATTCTATCTAGTACAACCACACTTAAGCAATGTCCTTAGCAGTGGCAGTCTTACGAGTATAGCTGTGTCTCCTCTGTCTTCATCCTAAGTACGTGTATTAAGTACCATTTCATGATCTGGATAGACACAGGATAAGGCTGGCCTGAAACTAAGTATATGTCTGGCCAGTGTAAGCTCTGCCAGTTTAATGCAACAGACTTCTTCTCATGCATAGAGCAGATACTAACTTCAGGATTCCAAACTTTCAAAAAAAGTGCTTCTTAAATGCTAATGCAGCCCTCACTGAGGTTCATTAGCATGGGTACTCCAGGCTGATAGCAAAGTGCCACATACTAGTTGGCTGTTCTTTTGCAGGTAGGAGTCTTTGGCTTACCTGTCAACTTGTAGGATGAAACTGGCAAATAAACACATGTGAGTTTTTTGAGGCTCATTAAGTCAAAAATGTTCTTTTATGTGCTTAACTAGTATTAAAAGAATGGTATGGTACTGGAATGTTCTCAGAGCAGGGATAGACACAGATACATTTGATGACCCCATTTGTTTCTCCCTTGCCATCTGTGTCAGCCAGTGATGCCTGCATTAACGCACAGGATTTGAGATGTGAAATAATGTCACAAACTAAACGCCAATTGTGCTGTAATGTCTGATAACCACTCAGATGCCCGGGGTCTGATGGTTCTGGCACCATACTGGGCAGACAGCAGTTTGCTGTCCAGCACATCTTTGTTGTCCTTTGAGAAATAACTGGTCATGGCTACAAATCTAGCTGAGCTAACGACAGAGACTACGAGGTCCATGAAGAGACTGACAGACAGCAAGGGAATGCAGATGGATGCTACACATTTGCAAGTGTTTATTTTTTAAAGTCTCTGACTGGGAAATATATAGAATGAAAAGGTCAGGGAAAGACAGTATGCCTTTCTGGCTTTGCCTTTCAGATTTTAGGATCAAAAAGAAAGAAGGAGGAAT